AGGGTCTCATGTTGGCCAGCCAGCCTCAAACTCCTATGTAGCCAGGGATGACCTTGAACTGTTGGTGTACCTGCCTCTCCCTCCCACTATGCTGAGGTTGCAGGCACACACCACTGTGCCCAGTTTTATGAGCTACTGAGTGTTGAACCTGGGGCTTCATACAGACTAGTCAGGCACTCCGCCAACTGAGCCACATCCCTAGACCTTCACTTTCTTGCTGGGCTGCTCAGAATGCAGGGTAGGTATCCTGGTTAGTTTTTACTGTCAACCTGATACAAACTAGGGTCACCTGGGAAGACAGAACCTCAGTTGAGGGATTGCCTCCATCAGATTATCCTTTGGGCATGTCTGTAGGGGATTTTCTTGATTGTTAATTGATACAGGAGGCTCTAACCCACTGTGGGAGGTACCATTCCCAGCAAGGTGTAGGCTGTGTGTCCTTCCTCATGGTTTCTGCTTCAGTTCCTGCCCTGACTTCCCTCAGTGATGGACTGTAACTTCCTCCCCATTTGCTTTGGCTGTGGCATCAGGTGTATGCTCAAGAGGGAGCAAGATTCCTTCTACCTGTGCTTGGCTAAGCAGAGGAGCACATTTGTGTCCCAGATAGCCAGGGACCATGGGGTGACACGGGACAAGCTGCAACCTGTTGGTGCAGTTTTAGTGCTAGGCATTGATTTGGGAAGCTAGAATGCCAGGAGAGATTAAGAAATGGGACTCTCAGGGCTCCGTTATTACAGCCCAGTGCTCACCACACAGTTCTAAAGCAATGCATGATTTACTTCCCTCAAGCCCCACCTCAAAGCCAAGGTAGCCACTATTATTATTCTCCACTTTGCGGACGGTAAATACAAATGGTGGTAACTTGCAATTTATGCAGTGGCACAGCCAGGAAGTACTGATAAACCTGGAAAGCTGGGACACAAATGCCTGCCCCGCACATCCATAATGCATATTGAGGAAAGGCTCTTTCTTCCTCAAACTCACAGTGATCCGCCTGCCTCTGCCTCCCTAAGGCGGGGACTAAAGGCGTGGCCCCCATGCCCAGCCCAAACATCAGCTCTTGAGCTGATAGTCTCAGTCTCAGGAAAAGGTAACTAAATACTGTGGCACACAGAAGTAAGCAAAACAAAGTAAGCAGAGTTTATTAAGGGAAATTAAGGAAAATGAGAAAGTAAGTGGGAAGAGGGAGGATGGGAGACACTCCTAAGATTAGGAGGGGTTCTAAGAGAGGAGAAAACTCCAGAGCCATTGTGTAGGGGCTTTAATATGGCCGCCTGCAGACACTGGCTAAACGCTGAGGTGATTTCTACAGAGACTGGTTAATTCTCTACTTACCACAGGCCAAGCCAGCGAGAGTCCACACGCCCTCCGCATGTTCCCGGGCTCACCAGACAGACAACTGGGAGCTGTTCATGTACTGCTTGTTCAACTTGGGGTGGTCCACATGTTGAAGCTCCTCCGTCCATCTGTGATTTGTATCTGCTGACCTTGGCTCCTCTGCTGGCCACTAGATCTGGGGGACCCTTGCAGGTGTTGCTAGTCTCTGACCTTGGCTAGTGTCTTGCTGGCCTGATGTTACCTAAACTATGAATGGTGTCTTTGTTCCTACCTTTTACCATGGGCCACTTCTCTTCACTGCCCACAGAGAGCTAACCCCAGCCCACTTCCCTTCTTTTTCCTTCTCTCTTCCTCCCATCCCTCCATCCCTTCCCCCTTCTCTATTTTAAAACTATCTACAGGGCGTTGGTGGCACAAGACTTTAATCCCAGCACTTGGGAGGCAGAGGCCACTGGATCTCTGTGAGTTCAAGGCCAGCCTGGTCTGCAGTATGAGTGCTAGGACAGGCTTGAAAGCTACATAGAGAAACCCTATCTTGAAAAAAAGTGTGCGTGTGTGTGCACCTGTGTATATGAGTGCCATGGTACATGCATAGTGGGGTGTAACATGTAGTCTTCCCGCCAGCTGCTTTAGCTCCCAAATAACACAGAAGACACTATATTAATTATGAAGCTGTTGGCCGTTTACTTGCTTTGTTTCTTTTTTTTTTTTTTTTTTGGTTTTACGAGACAGGGTTTCTCTGTATTGTTTTGGAGGCTGTCGGTCCAGCCAGGCCTCGAACTCACAGAGATCCACCTGTCTCTGCCAACCGAGTGCTGGAATTAAAGGTGTGCGCCACCACTGCCCGGCTTGCTTTGTTTCTTATTGGCTAGTTCTGACTTAATTATTTTTTTATTTTTTAATCTTTTTTTTTTAAAGATTTATTTACTACATATACAGTGTTCTGTCTACACACCAGAAGAGGGCACCAGATTGAATGGTAGATGGTTGTGAGCCACCATGTGGTTGCTGGGAATTGAACTCAGGACCTCTGGAAGAGCAGTCAGTGCTCTTAACCTCTGAGCCATCTCTCCAGCTCCCTGACTTAATTATTAACCCATAATTACTAATATATATTTTTATAAGGTCTTATCTTACCAAGGACTCAGCCTCATGCATCCTCTCCCTGGGTTCACATGGGGACAACTCTCTACTTTTTTTTTGTTTGTTTGTTTGTTCTAGAGACTGGGTTTCTCTGCATTGTTTTGGAGGCTGTCCTGGAACTGGATCTGTAGACCAGGCTGGCCCCAAACTCACAGAGATCCGCCTGCCTCTGCCTCCTGAGTGCTGGGATTTAAGGCGTGCATCACCAATGCTCGGCTTGACTCTACTCTTGACTACATTTCCCAGACTCCTCTGTGACTCCTAGTCTCACCTATCTTGTTTCCCTATTGGTCAACAGTGCTTTATTTATCAACATATACACAGAAGGACTTCCCCCCATCAGTGGGGCACAGAGAACAAAGTTGGTATCTGTCCTCCCCTTCTGCCTTGTCTGAAACAAGGTCTCTCAGTCTCATCTCCCTCTCTCTCCCTCTCTCCTAGGCTAGCTGGCCCCGGAGCTTCTGGGGACTTTAGCCTCTTGGACTCCTATCTTCCCACTGGAGCTCTGAGGATAACAGACACTTGCTGGTACATCTGATTTTGTGTGGTTCTGAAAACTTGAACACGGGCTCTCCATGCTTGCTTGGCAAGCACTTTACCTACCTACCCTGGGCATGTGTCTAATTCTTTTAAAAAGAGAGACTCTCGCATGTAGACCCAGTTAGCATGGAATTCACTGTACAGACCAGGCTGGTTTCAAATTCAGAGATTCACCTGCTTCTGCCTCCTGAGTACTGGGATTAAATGTGATCCACCAAGTGGGTATTGGGACTCCAATCCAAGTCCACTGCAAGAGCAACAAGAACTTTTTAATCTCTGAACCATCTCTCCAGTCCTCTGTGTGTGTGTGTGTTTTTAAGATTTATTTATTTATCTTATTTATATGAGTGCTCTATCTGCATGCACACCAGAAGAGGGCACCAGATCTCACTACAGATGGTTGTGAGTCACCATGTGGGTGCTGGGAATTGAACTCAGAACCTGTGGAAGAGCAGTCAGTGCTTTTAACCTCTGAGCCATCTCTCCAGCCCCCCGTTTGTGTTTTTGAGACAATGTCTCATGTAGCCCAGGCTGGCCTCAGACTCACTGTGTGACCTCCTGGTCCTGTTGTCCCTACCTTCCAAGTGCTGAGGTCACTGGAGAATGTCACCATGCCCCCCTGCTTGCTTGCCCTTCTTGTTCTGTTGGAGTTTTGCTTTGTAGAGCAGACTTGGCCTTGAACTTTTATATCTTCCTTCTTCAGCATCTCAAATGCCAGCGTGCCCAACAGGGATAGACCTTTCTAGCAAGAGCCTGTGTTGAGGGTAAGGACATTCCTGAAAAGATCTAAAAGAAACAGGCAGCAGCCTAGGAAGTTTATCTTTCACTCTGTGTTTGTGGATAAAATGTTTACATATTCATTCATTCATTCATTCATTCATTCATTGTGAGACAGGGCTTCTCTGCAACAGCCCTGACTGTCCTGGAGCTCATTCTGTAGACCAGTCTCGAACTCACAGAGATCTGCCTACCTCTGCCTCTACTTACAGGGTGCTGGGATTAAAGGTGTGCGCCACCACCATCTGGCTATGTTTACACATTTTAAAAGTCCAGTCCTTGTGTGAATCTAACCAGGGCTTCTGCTTTGTGGAAGGCTCTCCCAGGAGCTCAATGACAGAGTGATTGCCTTAGCAAGGGTTAGTTATATAACCAGTTGCACTAAGCAGTGCCCCCAAATTATTTGGTAAGAGTGAAGATTAGGAAAACAAGACAGCAGGCACTGCCCCCTCCTCCTGAGATCACTGTTCCCCACACCAACAGACAGCAAAACCAGGGCCAGAGAACCTACATCCAGGATCACAGAGAGCCACAGGGAAGCCAAGCTTGGTGGAACATGCCAGTAGTCCCGGTATTTGGGAGGTTGAGGCAGGATTGCCATGATTCTGTCATCATTCATGATTTGGAGGCCAGTCTGGACTACAGATTGAGAAGGGTGGGGATGGGGGGCATGGCAGAGCACGCCTTTAATCCCAGCATTCACAAGGCAGAAGCAGGTGGATCACTGTGAGTCCAAGGCCAGCCTAATCTACATAGCCTGTTCTAGGATAACCAGAGGTACACAAAAAGACCTTCTAGAATAAAAGAGGGAGAGGGAGGAGGAGGGCACCATAGCTAGCTGTAGTAAGCTCTCAAGGTCCTTCCCCCAAAGCACCAGGGCGGAGGAAGTCCCCTTTCCGCTTCCTATTATTCCCCACCCCACCCCCCCGCCCCCGCCCACCTGCCTTGGTGGGATGCAACCTGCAGCTTCTGCGGGACTTTAGAGGCTTGGCGTCACTCTAGAAGATCAAGTCTGGCCTTCGCCCCGCCTCCTCACACCCGCTAAGTTTAAGAGCCCTTGGGAACAGCTGGTCCTCAGGATCCTGATTCACAAGTCTCCCCTTCCTTTAGTAGGGTGGTCTCTCTCGCTCCTATTGAGCTACTTACACAATCCAGGAGATCCTCCGGCTCTTCTCCAGTCTAGGTCCGTTCAGGGTCGCGCCATGTCCGGTCCAGAGCCCCAGCAGCTTGCTCCCTCAGACGCTCAGATTCAGCCCGGGCGTTTGGGCCCCTGTCCTGTGGCTGTGTCCCCAGTGCCACCCCGCCGCCTAGCTCAGGGACGCCTGGAGTCCTCCTTTTCTATCGAGGCCATCCTGGCGAGACCCGAGACCCCTGGGAGAACTGCCACCCCTCTGCCGCTCTCTACCTGCATCAGTCTGAACCTGGACTCCGTGTCCCAGCACTCAGTCCTGCCCTGGGTGTGCTACGCATCGACTTGGCTGCCCACCTACCTGAGCCTGGGCATCTACCCGCTGTGCACCATGCCCTGCGTGCAGGGATTGAATGTGGCTCACCTCTTCTGCCAGCGGGGCCTCAGCCTCACAGGTACCGGGATGGAGCTCAGAAGCGGTAGCAGATGGCATCAAAGGGAAAAATCCTAGAGTTAGCTAGGAGCAATGAATGGTATATGGTACATGCCTGTAATCACAGCTGCTGGGAGTTCATAGCTGTAACAACCATGTCAAGTCCAGAAGACAGCTTTTCACACTTCTCTTCCAAGTCCTCTGGCTCGTGTGTGTGTGTGTGTGTGTGTGTGTGTGTGTGTGTGTGTGTGTGTTCATATACATGCTGTTGAGTGCACATGGATGTCAGAGGTCAATATCAGGTGTCCTTAATATTCCACCTTATTAATTATTATTGTTATTAATTTATTTTTTACATTCCATTCCAGTTCCCCCTCCCTCCTCTCCTCCTGCTCCCCCCACTCTCTCCCACCCATCTGCTCCACGGAGAGAGTAAGGCCTCCCCTAGGATGTCTACTAAGTCTGCCCCATTGTCTAGTTGAGGCAGGACCAGGGCACCTCTGGACCCCCACACCCCTGTGTCTAGGCTGGGCAAGGTATCTCTCCATATAGAATGGGCTCCATTAAGTCAGTTTGTGCATGAGTGTTAGGTCTTGGTCCCACTGCCAATGGCCTCATATATTGTCCCAGTCACACCATTGTCGCCTATATTAAGGAAGTCTAGTTTAGTCTTACGCAGGTTCCCTCTTTGTCAGACCTGAGTCAGTGATCTCTCACTAGCTCAGGTCAGCTGACTCTGTGGGTTTCCCCATCATGGTCTTGACTCCTTTGTTCATGTTATCAATCCTCCCTCACTTCGATTGCACTCCAGGAGCTTGGCCAATTGATTAGTTGTGGATCCACCTTACGTTTTAAAAGATTTTTTTCTGTTTTTCTCTTTTTGTTTTGCCTTCCTTCCCTTGCCTACCAAAGATGTTTTTACTTTTATTTATGTGTATGTGTGAATGTATGCCATGTGTGTACACCTGAGGTGGCCAGAAGAAAACACTGGATTCCCTGGAACTAGTTACAAACAAGTACAAGTGGCTGTAAGCCACTGGACATGGGTGCTGGGAACCACACCTGAGTCCTGGAAGAGCAGCAATTGCTTGTAATTACCAAGCCATCTCTCTTTTTTTTTTTTCCTTTTGTTGTTTTTGAGATGGGGTTTCTCTGTGGCTTTGGAGGCTCCTTTTTTTTTTTTAAATTAGAAACAAGCTTGCTTCACATGTCACTCCCAGCTCTTGCTCCCTCCCCTCCTCCCCCGCCTCCCCACCAGTTCCCCCAGTCCCCCTCCCAATCCCCACTCCGATCCCCAGGGAGGGTGAGGCCCTCCATGGAGGATCTCCAGGGCAGGGCCTCCCACAAGATTCCCGGCTGAGAGAGCACCCCTCATTGTGGAATGGGCACCCAAAGTCCATTTGTATGTCAGGGATAAATACTGATCTACTATCCAAGACCCCATAGATTGCCTAGGCCTCCTCACTGACCACATTCAGGGGGTCTGGATCAGTCCCATGCTGGCCTCCCAGCCATCAGTCTGGGTTCCAAGAGCTCCCACTTGTTTAGGTCAACTGTTTCTGTGGGTTAAACCAGCCCAGTCTTGACCCCTTTGCTCATCACTCCTCCCTCTCTGTTGCTGGGTTCCAGGAGTTCAGTTCAGTGTTTAGCTGTGGGTATCTGCCTCTGCTTCCATCAGTCACTGGATGAAGGTTCTGTTTCCCAGACTCTCTGGCAGTGGGATTGTAGGCTGGCACTCACCCTATCCATGTCTAAAATCCATATATGAGTGAGTAGATACCATGTTTGTCTTTTTGTGACTGGGTTACCTCACTCAGGATGGTTTCTTCTAGTGCTGTCCATTTGCCTGCAAATTTCAAGATTCCATTGGTTTTTTCTTCCCCCAAGTCATCTCTTTAGTCCTATTCCATCTTAATTTTCAGATAGGACCTCTCACTTAATCTGAGGCTCTCCAGTTGGCTAGACTGCCTGGCCAAAAAGCTCTCCAAGCACCCTCCTGTCTCCACAAGCTCAACACTGCTTTTTTCTTTGTGCTGGGGATGAGAATACAGGTTCTCAGTCTTGTGCCATTTACTGACTTACTGACTGAGTCATCTGCCCTGCTCTTTGGGAGTTATTTCTATATAGCCTCTTCCCACTGTCCTGTGTTACCTGGCCAAGGAGAGGGGAGAGATTTGGAGCCTGTGGGTTTTCTTTCTCCTCCACAGTGTGTGTGTGGGGGGGTGGGGGTGTGTGGTGGGGGTTGGGGCAGGTGGCTGCTGGCTGACTTCCCCTGCTGTTCTTTAGGCTCAGAGCTGCCTTACTGTCCAGACCTCTGGAGCCCTCTGGACTGGGCACCTACCATGAACCTTCAGGACACAGAGAGACACCAAAAAAGGGTCCCCAGGATGTTTAACCTGCAGCAGCTGGGAGAGTTGGAGAGAGCATTTGCAGAGCAGCACAACCTGGTGGGGAAGAAGAGAGCCCAGCTGGCTGCCAGGCTGCACTTGACAGAGAACCAGGTGTGAACAGGGACCCGGGACTCAGGCTGTGTGGGGACTGTCACCACCTCTAATAGGCTCCTAGTAAGGGATGGGAGGAAGACATGGCCTTTTTTTCCTCTGGACTAGGATGCTGGGAAGACAGGCCCTAGTTGTTTAGATATTCTCTTTGTCATATAATATTTCTATTTGGAGTCACATTGTAAACGTAATGCTACTCTTGTATTTGCTCCTTTTTATTTTGTGTGTTTTGCATATGTGTGTGCATGCTTTTGCGTGTGTGCAGGCACACGTGTGTGCCATTATGTGTACATGTGGAGGAGGCCTGAGGTTGACGTCAGGAATCATTCTCAGTTGCTCTGCCACTTTGTTCACTGAGGCAGAATCTCTCTATCAAACCCAGGGCTGGTATTTTATAGCTGGCCTCATTGGGCCAACTTGCTCTAGGGAATCCTGTTTCTGCTTGCTGAAGCTAGAGTTACAGGTGGGCCACTTGGCATTTATGTGACTTTCTGGTGATCTGAACTCTGATCTTCTCTCTCTCTCTCTCTCTCTCTCTCTCTCTCTCTCTCTCTCTCTCTCTCTCTCTGTGTGTGTGTGTGTGTGTGTCTGTCTGTCTGTCTATCTTGAAACAGGTTCTCATGTATCCCAGGCTGGTCTGGAACTTGCTACATAGCCAAAGATAATCCCGGACTTCTAATCCTCCTGCCTCACCTCCCAAATGCTAAGGTGACATGTGTTCGCCATGGTGCTGAGTGTCAAACCCAGAGGTTTGTGTGCTGGGCCAGTGTTCTGCTAACTGGTCAAATCCCAGCCCTCTGTTTTCTCTTGAAGTCATCCCAACATGATGATTTTTCCTCTGTTTCATCAAAACATTCAAGTTGTCAAAGCCAACAAGCAAGCTCCTCCCCTCAACTGACCCCTGAGCCCTCAGTATGATTATTTACACCTCCCCCACTTCGACACATTCTCCTCTTGACTCCATCTTCTCTAGTCATTCATGTCTCCTGTCTAGGCTACTCTTTCCTTTGGGACTTCATGCCATCTAGTCTCATCTATAACCATTGTTTAAAATACCATTTCTAAGCCGATGACTCAAATTTATATTCCCAGTCCGACCTTCTCTGCTAGGAATTGAACCGCATCCTGTGGCAAGTTCTCTGTAGCTTTGGGAGGCTGTCCTGGAACTCATTCAGTAGACCAGGTTGGCCTTGGACTCACAGAGATCCGCCTGCCTCTGCCTGGGATTAAAGGCATATGCCACCACCGCCTGGCTCCTGACTACCTTCTTAAAATCTCCACTTAGAGCCTCTAGGAAGGCATTGCAAATTAGAAACCTCAAATCTTAGTTGTTTTTCTTCCGTAAATCTGTTCCTTTCCACATTCATGATCAAACCACCCAGCCAGTTACTTGAAAATGAAATTATTCTAGATTGCTCTTCCTCCTCCCGCTTCTAACCCTCAGCAAGCCTTGTCCCTCTACCTCTAAACTGTAGATGGAATTACGTCCCTTTCCCACTGTCCAACTTTATAGCCCTACACATCCCTAGCTCCCCTGGGTTACTGCTGTGACCTCCTAGCTGTCTCTTCTTGCCTTTGCCGTCATCCAGCTCCCACATATCAGCCAGCCGTGCAGTTAGTTCACTTCAAGACAATGTCACACCCCATTTACAAGCCTCAAAAGGGACTCTCCCTCTCTATGTCTTCAAGGTCCCAGGTATCCTGGCTCTTCTGACCTCTCACTTCTCTGCCCAGTCTTGTAGCCGTGCCCTCCTTTCTGGTCCTCACCTTGACTTTGATGTCAACTGAGTCGTTCCATAGGCTCTACCCAATTTGTTTCTCTCTGTCTCTACCAGGATGGACCTTATCCTCAAAGAGATCACCCAGCCCAAGTCTCTGTTTGTGCCTCCACTTACATCTCCTATTTTCTAATACTTACATATTTACATTGGGTCTTCTTCCACTAGATGGTGAGATCCAGAAAACAGACACCACACCTGTCTTGCTCACCACTGTCACTGTCACCTAGTACAGCACAGCACACTGTAGTCGTAAGTACTCACTGGGGGCTAGAACATAGCTCAGTTGGTAGAGTGCTTCCCTCACGTGCACAAAGTCCTGGATTCAGTTTCCGTTACCACATTTAATGGACCTAGTGGCACACACCTGTAATCCCAGCACTTGGGAAGTAGAAGCAGGGGTACCAGGAGTTCAAGATCATCCTGCGCTACATAGTGAATTTGAGGCTAGCCTGGGTGATATATCCTATCTCAAAACAACAAAGGTACACACCAGGATGAATGGATGGTGATAAGAATAGCATTTTGGAAGAGAGGCTTAGCTTGTCAGGAAGAACAAATTTATCCAGGTAGCAAAAGGTAGGCACCTCTGGAAATGAGTGAAGGGTAAAGGGACCTGCTGACCAAATTCTGATGCTTGTCCACTGCCCCCAATTACAGGTGAAGATCTGGTTCCAAAATCGCAGGGTGAAGTATCGGAAGCAGCAAAAACTGAAATCACCTTCCTCCTCTGCCATGCAAGAACCCTCCAGCAGCTCAGATGGCAACATCCAGGGTGAAGATGCTGAGTCAGGAGTGGCAGTTAAGGACTGACCCAAAGGCATGCTGTGTGGGATAGTTCTTCCTGGGACACCCGCTGGACCTCCTAGTTCCACATCTCAACGAAGAGCTTCCTTACACCAAATGTACTTGAACAATCAAACAGGAGATTCCCGGGGAGCAGACTAATGGAATGATCTAGGTCCTTGGCTAGGTTTTTCTTCCTGTGGATAGCAGGAATATTGACAACTCATACATTTCTCCTGGGGAAAGCCCCTGCAGAGTGCAAGCCTGGTGGTCAGGATGTAGAGCTGGTGACATTTAGGTCCTCTCACCTAGGGAGTGGAAGCATCTGCCCCAGGTCTCAGGATGGAGTCATCAACTCTTTTCTGGCCTGTCTGTGGAGAAGCGGTCTCCTTAATGATCAGTGGGTGTGGCAGACTCTCCCTGGAGTCTGGAGGGAAGCATATTGCTTAGCCCACTTGGCACAAAGTTTCCCACATTTCAACCCTGCTCCTCTTCATCTCCATCCAACTCTGTATCTGAGGATGACTTTGACTTCCTGACCCTCTTATCTTTACTTCCCACATGCTGGGATAACAGCTTTTTTTTTTTTTCACAGATTCTCATTATGTGACATAGACTGACCTCACATTCATAGAAATTCTCCTACCTCAGCCTCTCAGTACTAAGATAACAGATGAAAGAACCATGCTTTTGCCCAGCGTTTTCTTGTTTTGTGTGTCACCAGTTTCAGTACAGACTCGGGTTTATGGTAATTGTTTCCTTTGGAGAAATACTCTACTCCCCCCCCCCCGACATCTTTTTCTCCCAGGTGTCCACCCTTCTCCCTCCCTAGCTTCTTTTCACCCAGCATTGACAATGTGGTTCCTCCCTGAATGACCTTCTCACCCTGCTCGCCAGGAAGCCTGCTGAGAGCTTATCTTTGTGAAGTCGGCCTCCAACACTTAAGAGCAGATTTCTACAGTGCAGACTGTTCACCCGCAGTTCCTGGGCTGAGGGGATGGAGTGAGAGGCCTGGTCTTCCTCTATGAGGCTGTCCTTGGGGCCCGGTTTTCTGGGGAAAGAGGGAGGAAGGTGGGCGGTGGGAGCTGAGCACACAGACAGTGGACTTTAGCCAGAAGTGCGGTGTATGCCTTTAATTCCAACATTTGGGAGGCAAAGGCGGGTGGATCTCAAGGCTAGACTGGTCTACAGAGTGAGTTCCAGGACAGGCACGACAACACAGAGAAACCCTGTCATAAAAAAATAAAAAATAACCAGTGGACTTGTAGACATCAAATGGTAGGCTAGAGGGAATTGAGAGCCTTGCCTCAAGAAGCCATCCTCTGGAACTGGGCAGGGTAGTGCAGACCTGTAGCCTTCCCACTAGGAGGCTAAGCCAGAAGGATGGTGGACTTGAAGTCAGCCAGACCTACCATAGTGAGTTTGAGTCCAGCCTAAACAGTGAAACCCTGGTCCATCAAAAACGAGGGCTGGTAGAGGCTCAACAGGTAAAGGCTCTTGCTGCCAAGCCTGAAGATCTGAGTTTGATCTCTGGAACCTACATGATAGAAGAGAACCGTCTCCCTCCAACACACATATCCACACACATACACACAAAATAACTGTAAGGAACCCTTAATTTTACAAAAACATGGTGCTGGAGAGTTGTCTCAGCAGTTAAAAGCACTTGTTCTTGCAGAGGACTGGGATTTGATTCCTAGCACCTATGTGATGGCTCACAATCATCCATAAAGGGATCCAAAGCACTTTTCTGACTTCGGCAGGCACCAGGCACACATCCGCACATGTTAAAAGTTTAAAAAAAAGCACTAGCAAAAGAGAAAGTAAAGAACTGAAACCTTTCTCTGTCCAAGTCCTTAGGGAAATCCTTCTGGGTGCTGGACTCCAAAGTCCTGTTCATGAGAGGAGTCCAGTCCAGCTGTCTCCTTCAGGAACATCTGACTCTGTATGTACATACTCATGTATGTTCACTGGAGGCCAGAGGTCAACACTAAGTGTCTTAATTGCTCTCCTTGTGTTTTGAGACAGGTTCTCCTCCTGAACCTAGAGATAGTTCATTTGACTAGGCTAGTTGGTCACAGAGCCCCAGGTATCACCCTATTTCTGCCTCTCCAGCCCTAGGATTACAAATGTTTGCCACCATGCCCAGCCTGTTACATGGCGCTAGGGAGCAAACTCAGGCCCTCATGCTTATGTGGTAAATGACCCCAACTGACTCACTTAAAAAACAAAATATCAAATTCAGAAGGCAGAAGCAGGCAGATCTCTGTGCGTTTCAGGCAAATATGATCTACATAGAAACCTTGTCTCAAAATAAAAATAAAAACATCATGAAATAATTACTAGGCTGTTGCCTAATTCTCAAGGGTCACGATTGAACCATAATAGAGCAGATGTAGGTCCCTTTTCAAGGACTACATAGTCAACGGAGGGACAAAACAACAAAATAAGGTAGGTTGGTTAGGGTCTAGCTGCAGTAACAGGAACACCCCTCTCTCCAGGCCTCAGAACAATGCCTGTGTACACTCATTTCTACATCTGGTTAAGGGGACCTCTGACTACTGCACCATAACCCTACTCTGCAAAGTCAAGAAAGCCCCTGTTAACTCAGAGGCACTGGTCCAATCTGGTTAAAATAAGACAGTCTGCCCAGCTGCAGGAGGGTTTATAGAAAAAGGAAATAAATTTTTAATTTTTGTTTAAATTTATGTGTATGATTGTTTTGCCTGGGAGTGTATATGTGCCCTATGTGTGTGCCTGGTACCTGAGAAGGTTGGAAGAGGGCATCAGAACCCTCTTGAGCTGGAATTACATACAAATAGTTGTGAACCAGTGTTGGGACCAAACCTGGGTCCAAACTAGAGCAACAAGTGTTAACCGCCAAGTCATCTCTCCAGGTCCTAAATTTTCTTTTTTAGACAGGGTTTCATGTACTTCAGGCTAGCCTAGGTAGTTGAGGACGACCTTGAAACTCAGATCCTCTGCCTCCACCTGAGTGTGAAGGTATTAAATGTAGCTCATCGTGTTGGGTTTAAGCAGTATTGGGGCTCAAACCCTCTAGCTGCATGCAGGTCACTCTAACAACCATAGAGCAGAAATGTTGCTAACGGAGGGGGGCGTAAATTGAGTGAGCCCCAGAAACTAAACTACTTCTTCATTTCGGATGAGGGTCAAAGAGAGAGTAAGTCAGCTTTCTGCTGTCCCCACACCTTCTTCTGAGTCTAAAAAAGACTTTGTGCAGTGTTGGGGGATGATGAGGGGTTTTTGAATCAGGAGGATGGCTGAAGAAAGCTCGTGGCCAGCCTGGGACACATAATGAGATCCTGTCTCAAAAACAAGACGGCGTGAAAAGATGCAATAATAGACATTTAAAAACACAGACTAGGTTTTTTGTTTTGTTTTGTTTGGCTTTTGTGGCTAGGAAAAGACTAGGGGGTCTCCCCCTAGACTAGTTCGTCAGCCGTCATTGGTTGACTCCAACACTGGCCACCGAGTCAGAAACAGATTACCAGAAGTGCAAGTACACAGGAAGGCCCGATTCCACCCGGTCAAGCAACCAAGACCAAAACCTAGACTTGCAGCAAGAGCAAAGCGGTGTCGCTGTTGCCCGGCACGTCCTGGGTAGGGGTGGGGATGGAGGGAGGGCGCTCAGCGACTCGATGGGCGGGACCTCCGGGGCGGGTCAAGGGTCAGAAGGCGGAGGCGTGCCCAAGATGGCGGCCTCCATGTGCGACGTGTTCTCCTTCTGCGTGGGCGTGGCGGGCGGTGCCCGGGGCTCCGTGGAAGTCCGTTTTGTGAGCAGTGCCAAGGTGAGGCGGGGCGGCATTCTGCCCGGAGAGACGCCCCGGGGACCCGCGCCCGCAGCCTGGAGTCCGGCCGGCTCGGCGCCGGCCTGGCCCCTGCTCGGGCCCGGGGCGCAGGATCCGCTCTCGCTCCCAGGCTCGTGGCGATTTCGCGCGCGGGGAGCTCAGTCTCGGAGCCCGCTTGCGCAGCCCTCCCGCGGAACGCGGCCCACTGGCGGGTGGCGGTGCTGCGGACGCCCTGGGTCAGCACGGACGCCCTGGGTCAGCACGGACGCCCTGGGTCAGCACGGACGCCCTGGGTGGGGTTGAGGCTCTGGGAGGTCCTGGGTTGGAGCAATATCCTGGACCAGGTTGGGGAGGTCTTGGCTAGGTCTGGGGGCTTAGCTTCTGGTCAGGAGGCAGTGGGTGGGGAGTGCTTAGCCGCGGGAACTGAGGTGTAAAGCAGCCTGGCACCCCAGCGACCCTTCTCAGGGAGGTATAGGTGGAGACTTGGAGAGCTAGGAAACTTGGACCAGAACCACACACTGACTGTTTATATATGAAAGGTTTAAAACAGGAAAATGACATGATTTCATGATTTGTATTACCATGGGGTTTTTGTTTTGTTTTTGAGACAGGGTCTCATAATGTAGCTCTACCTGTTCTGGAACTCACTGTGTAGACCAGACTGACCTTTGCCTTTCCAGTGCTGGGATTTTAGGCATCCGGCTCTATTATCGTTTCTTATTAATTCCTTGTAGAATAGAAAATAATTACAAAGATAAAAACCACTCTGTATTGTACTTGTGCACAAATATGTATATTAAAGTTACACCTTTAAAAGCCACCTCTTTGGTTTGAAATGAGGTCTTCATGTAGTCCAGGCTGATCTTGAACTCATTTCCTGCTCTCACCTCCCAAGTGCTAGGTTAAGCCTGGTAGTGGCTGAAACACCCCCTCCTCCCCCGTTTCTTTCAGTACATCTTTTCAGTACAACTTTCATATCATTGAACCATTTCCGCTTGGTTAAAGAGTTGACTGATAATGTTTCAGGGGAGAACCACACTACACTCAACCAAATCCTTATTTATAGCTTTTTCATGTCATGTCTTAATTATCACCCCGAGAGCAAAGTTCTTACTGCTGGGCTTAAGTGCACAGAGACTTTTGTTCTATGGCATTTAATAAGGTGCATATCCTTGGTCCATGGCCCAGGATGTTAGTTCTGTAGTCATCTGTTGTCAGCATCTCCATATCTGTTCAGGTTCCCATCCTAAACTTCCCTTGCTGTCTTGCTGTTCTATAAGCTTTGGGAGCACTCCTCTCCTTGGGTGGGAAGTCAGCCTCCCTGTATCCTGTGGGACCTTAGCTGTTCACATTCTCATTACCACCCGGAGCTTCTGTTACACATTATTATTGTTATTATTATTCTGGTACACATTATTATTATTATTATCACTACTACTACTATTACTATTAATTCAACTTGACTTTTACCCTTAGGAATGCAAATGAAGATAAAACAATACCATTTTGCATATGTCAACTGGCAAAGACATAGAGTGCCATTACCATTACCATTCAGAGCTTCTGGTGCTCCTGGGGCCCACAGTTTGAGGTGTCTCAGATCCCGTAATAATCGCTTTTTCATCTCTACTACCCTCTCCTATCTTGGCCTTCTCTTTTCTTCAATTTCTTCTCAATTTTTACTTCCTCCAATCTCCTTTCCCAGTTCTGTCCTAGCCTTCTCTCAGGACCCCAGCTAATGGCCCTGTACTGTATTCTAGCACTCAGAAGATTTAGAGTTCCAGGGCAGCCTGGGGTACAGAGTAAAATCCTGTCTAAAATAAAGCAAAACAAACAAAACAACAGCAACTAAGCCTCTAGCTGGTCATGTTCCACTGCCTACCCCTAGCCTTGTGCTGGGGAGAATCACCTTCCAGTGTGGACTTAAAGTTTAGTGTGTACTTATGGCAGCTTAGTCATCTGGTGATTGATTTGTAATTGTTTTCCTCTTTTTGTGCCATCTTCTCCGGTTATCACATAACACTAATGCCTGCCTTAGGGTAGAATGAGAATTACTTATTCTTTGAAAGTTTTAGAGAACTATCTCCTGAAGTGTGATGGGAAGGGACACGTGTGAGCATAGTTTTTAGCTACTGCACGGCTTCTCTGGATATTAATAGGAATGATTTCTAGGTCTCTATGAATTGTTATGTCAGAGACAAATCAGTGGGGAATCAGAAGCCTAACTTGAGGCTTAGTAGGTGCCAGTTGAAATCTGTACACTGGCTAGATCCTGGCATGGCTTGTTAATTTGGGCTTGCTTCCTTTTGAATTATTTTGATTATTTTTCTAAAAAAAAATCACTCGCTTATGGAAGATTTTTTTTAATGGAACCTCATGCACTTTAAAGTATTTTATTATTACTTGTGTGTGTGGTATGTGTGTATCTGGACACATCATGTAGTGGTCAGAAGACAACTTTGAGTAGCTGGTTCTCTGTCTTCACTGTGAGATCTGGAGATGGAACTCAGATCTTCAGATTTGATGCCGCACACTTTCACCCACTGAACCATCTGGCTGCCCTAATAAATAATAATACTATTAAATATACTATCTAGTCTAAGAGTTTTGTATAATCTCTCTTAGAGTTTGTCTTCCCTCCTCCCCTTCCTCCCTTCTCTTGTCCTTTTCTTCCTTCTGATGTGGTCTTATGTAGCTCAGTGGAACTCATTAAGTCTGGGCTTTGCCTCTCACTTTGTTTCCCCTTCCTGTTCTATAATAGCTTCTAGAGCTGGGTTGTAGCACATAACTGTTATCCCTACGTGGGAAGAACTAGCACAAGTTCAGGGGCAGCCTGGGCTATGTAGGGAGACACTGTCCAAATAAAGAAGAAGAAGCTCTCTTCGTGTGGCAAAGGCCCATCTGCACCCAGCGTCAGTGCTGAAGGGAAACAGGCGACCACAGTGACAGGGCATTTTCTCTGCCACTTTGTGATGGCAGCTCTTTGTTGGCAAGGACACCAGACACCATCACTTGCTGAAGCAGTAACTGCCCAGACTCTGAATTCTTGAGCTTACTCAGAGGATAAGGATGGAGCCAGATGTGGTGGCTGACACCTGTAAATATAGCATTCCAGAGGACAAAACAAATTTGAAGACACCCCCCCCCCCCCCCGTGTTTGTGTGTGTGTGTGTGTGTGTGTGTGGTTCCCTATAGTCCCGGCTATCCGGGACTTACTGTTTTGACCCTAGGTGGCCTTGAACTCAGAGATCTGCCTGTCTCTGCCTCTGTAGTGCTAGGTTAAAGGCATGCTCTACCATTGCCTGGCTCAGAATAGGTTTCTTTTTTTTTTCTTTTTTCTTTTTTTTTGGTTTTTCGAGACAGGGTTTCTCTGTGGCTTTGGAGGCTGTCCTGGAACTCACTTGGTAGTCCAGGCTGGTCTCGCACTCACAGAGATCCGCCTGCCTCTGCCTCCCGAGTGCTGGGATTAAAGGCGTGCGCCACCAACGCCAGCCAGAATAGGTTTCTTAATCTTTAGCATGCATAGGAATTGCCAGCATCTGTTAAGGTGCAGATTTTAACTGCTGTGGCTTAGGTGGGAAAAGTGCTATCATGCAAGTCTGACAACTTGAGTTCATTCCCCAAATCCCACAGTGAAAGGAGAGAACTGAACCAACTGTTGAAAGTTGTCATCTGACTGCCACACAGCATCTGCACTCATAACATCTTCTTGTCTGTGCCTTCTTTGGAGCTGGGGTTACAAGCATTTTAGAGACACCTGGATTACTTCTCTGGGGACTGGGATCCAAACTCTGGTCCTCATGATTATGGAACAAGTGCATTTAGCTACTGAACCATCTTTCAAGTCTGTTTTTCTTAAACAGACAAACAAACAAACAAGGTCTTATGTAGCCCAGGCTAACCCTGAACTACTGATCCCCCTGTTTCCATGTGCTAGGATTATAGGCATGTGTCACTATGACAGGTTTGGAGCTATGTCTCACCCGTCTGTTCTCCATCCTGTTAGGGAAAGGGACTGTTTGCCACACAGCTGATCCGGAAGGGAGAGACCATCTTCATTGAAAGGCCCCTGGTGGCTTCACAGTTTCTTTGGAATGCACTTTATCGGTACCGGGGTAAGCATATCTTGCCTGCTTCAGGTGGCAGTTGGACCCATCCATTTTGTGCATGGAAGGGAGCCTTACATATCTTCTGGCTAGCCCTCTGAGTATTGGGAGGAAATGCTGTCTTTCCCTGGAGAACAGGACCTGTGAACCACATCTCTGCCTACCTTTGTGTTGGGACTGTGTACCTACAATGGGAGGTGCCTCCAAAATGCTTCTTGGGGAGGATGCTCTCTCAGACATAACTTATATATGCTTATGGTTATCATGCTGAAGGGCTCTGTACCAAATTAGATGTCCCTACTGGAAGGTGGTGCATAACCCATTCTCAGTGAAGACTGAGGTAGGGGACCAGAGCAAGTGGACCCCTTAACTTTGCCAGCCACAGGCCTCTTCATATTTTTCTTAGAGAAACTGAAAGGAGCAGCAGTCTGAGGCAGGGGTCCCCATGGGCTGAGTCTGATGGAAAAGCATGAGATCAGGAGGAACTAGAGGGTTCTTGAAAGAGGGGCCTTACTGTGTCTGGCTTCCCGGCAGCCTGTGACCACTGTCTTCGGGCCCTGGAGAAGGCAGAGGAGAATGCACAGAGGCTGACTGGGAAACCAGGCCAGGTTCTCCCACACCCAGAGCTGTGCAGTGTGCGCAAGGACCTCCACCAGAACTGCCCGCATTGCCAGGTGAGTACCCCTGGGGAATGACAGGAGAGGGAGCAGGCCAAGACGGCTTTAGTCAAGTCTTCACTGGCAAGACAAAGTCTGAAGAGACCTGGTCCATTCCCCAAGGCTCATTCTAATGTGTGACGGTGAAAGGGCTCCGTGATTGTTGAGCTTCTTTGCTGCCAGTGTCCATCATCCAGAAAATAGGTGTGGCGGGACATTTTCCCTTTATGTAGTATAACAAGCTAAGGTTAGGTGCATGTCCCTAGAACATCCTGTACTATCGACTCGGAGCTGTTAAATGAGGTGAGTGCCCGAGGTCCTGGGAGCTAACCTCTACCCCACCTAACAGGTGACGTACTGCAGTGCTGAATGTCGGCTGGCAGCTGCGGAGCAATACCACCGAATCCTGTGCCCAGGCCCATCGCAGGATGACCCCCGGCACCCCCTCAATAAGCTGCAGGAGGCATGGAGGTAGGTCTCTTCCTCTCTTTACCTTTCCCTCCATTCTAGCCTTAGCTCAGCAGCTGTTTCCAGTTTTCATGAGTTACATCCCCAAGATGTTACATCCATTATTAGGCGTAAACAGAAGTCACTGTTTTCAGCACCCTGCCTTGACTCGGAGTAGCCAGCCCTACCATCTTTAGCCTTTTTCAGACTCCCAGAGAGAGTCCACCAAAACCTAGGGGATACAAAGTTGCCCAAGTCCAGCCTTTGATAACTGGTAGACAGGCAGGAAGTGCTGCTGTGGCCCTCAGAATGGGCTTTCCAGGCTCTGCTCCGAGGGAGGGGATTTCTAGGCTACACTTTCTCTTTCCCCAGGAGTGTTCACTATCCTCCAGAGACTGCAAGTATCATGCTGATGGCTCGGATGGTGGCCACTGTGAAACAGGTAAGCCAGAGAAGCTGACCCCCAATAGTTCTGGTTCTCAGTTACCTGACCTTGCTTGGACGTCCTTACTCCTGGGTTTTCCCAAAAGATAGCTGCTTGCTACGTAGAGCCTCCAGCGCATGCTCACCAGAAATCAGGCATAGGCCGTGGGCATTGGTTTTGCCTATCTTCTTTTTTTTCTATGAGATGTCTGTCTGATGCAGCAGCAGTTCCTGAATTTGACTGATAGGCATCACTGTCCCAGGACAGCATCTGTTACATGCAGTGAGAGATGCTATGCTGACCCCTTCTGTCTGTATTGTTCCTTCCCAGTGGTCTTCTGTTTACTCAGTGTTCTGAGTTGGCAAACCCTGCTCCAGCTAGGGAATGGCTGTGTGGGTGGGGGCTGGAGGTTGAGGGGAGATCTGGGGCAGAAGCTCTTGGATGTTGGTCATTCCCTGATTGTGGCCATTCCCTTGAGAAACAAGCCCTCTGTTCCACGTGGGCACATGGCCCTTATGTGTCTTTGTCCTACAGGCCAAGGACAAGGACCACTGGGTCAGACTTTTTTCCCAGTTCTGCAGCAAAACAGCCAATGAGGAGGAGGAAATTGTTCACAAACTCCTGGGGGACAAATTCAAGGTTGGTTTTCTCCCATGGCCTCTCCTCGCTACCCTTCACGTAGCCTGGGGTATACATGGCTACCTTTAGGGGACTAACTCCACATTTGGTCTCTTTTCTGCTACAATGGGGGTTAAAGCATGGTCCTAAAAATCCCTTTAAAGAACGCATTCCTGGCCCCATTTTCCTTTGTGACCTAATACAGACCTAAGATTGAAAGTAGGGAAGAGGGGTTGCATGTCCTACCCCAGAGTGCTTGTCAGGTATGCCATGTGGAAAGGCAACATTTCTGAGGAAGACAGCAGTAGGCACATAAGGTTTTCTGGAGAGTGGAGGGCTGGGGTCCACAGGTCAGGGAGTGGTGTGAAATTCATGTGGTGAGAATAAGACACTAAGGACCTCAGCCTTCCTTTGGAGCTGCCAAAGTGGGGAGGCTACCAGAGGGTAGAGACTGTCCAAGGGAGGCAGAGAGAGGGTGGGATCGCAGCTGTGGGGAAGGTGTAGCTAATAGTGTAGCTAATAATGGATCTAGAAAAAAGGAGAGCCAGACGGTGGTGGCGCACGCCTTTAATCCTAGCACTCAGGAGGCAGAGTCAGGTGAATCTTTGTGAGTTCGAGGCCAGCTTGATCTACAGAGTGAGTTCTAGACAGTTAGGGCTGTTATACAGAGAAACCCTGTCTCAAATAAATAACAACAAAGAATAAAGAAGGAGAAAACCAAGCTGATCAGAGGCTAAGCAAGTCTAAGGGAAACTCCAAGGGAGGGTGAAGATGGATGTTCTAAAGCTGTGCTCCTTCAGTCTTGCTGGAACAAGTACTGGAAACAGGAAGAAACTTGGGGTTTACACCCTCATTTGGAGCTCTCAGACAGTTAGAAATAAGTACTGCCTCTGTCCTCAGGGAAAAAGCTCAGGCTGCATAGCTGGCTCCTTTTCCCTCCTTCATCTGATTTTTTTCTTACCTACTTGGTACTAAAGAGAAGTCTTCGAGGCTGCAAGTGTTTCTCTGTTTCCCCTAAACCAGGGCCAACTGGAACTTCTGCGTAGGCTCTTCACAGAGGCCCTGTATGAGGAGACCCTCAGCCAGGTGAGTGTGGGAGGATGGGACCTGAAGCCTTTCTTTCCAGTACTCCAGGCCTGGAGTTGAGGTGAGGCCAGCTCTCAGAAGCTTCCCACTGCAGAGCTGGGTTAGAAAGACCAGCCCGATGCTCATTTCTCTCTCCCAACAGTGGTTCACGCCAGATGGATTCCGGTCTCTCTTTGCTCTTGTTGGGACCAATGGTCAAGGGATTGGAACCAGGTTAGGAGAGAATGTTCTAGACCTATTAGGTAAACCCTTGGGGTTCAGATGAGAGATTAATGTAGGAAAGTAGTCACAGATTCTCTCAAGATGGGTGGATTGGGTATTGTACCACCCTGGCTGGGAGGAATCTGGGACTATGGGCCCCTTACTCTAGAAAACAACAGGCAGAGTGGGAGACTCTTCTGCCTGGCTTCACATGATGGACATGCAGAGCCCTGTGACCTGGGCTGTTTCTAACCGTGGGCTGCTGGGACTTCCAGCTCCCTCAGCCAGTGGGTACATGCCTGTGATGCGCTGGAGCTGAAGCCTCAGGACCGGGAACGGCTGGACACCTTCATTGACCAGTTGTACAAGGACATTGAGGCAGGTTGGTGAGATGGGGCTGTGGCTTCCCCCATCTTTGGAGTTTCCCTAGTCAGACAGCAGACCCAGTTCTTGCCAAGGAGTGCTAAACTTATGGTAGGGGGTGAGAATTCCTATGTGCCCGTGGGAAGCTTCAGATTTAGCTACAGGACATGCAGGTGAGAATGGTCCTGAGACCAACCAGAGGCTCCATGCTGGGAGGAGGGAGAGCCAGATAAATAGGTAGTGGTGCAGACAGAAGAGCAAGACATGTCTCCGAGAAGCAAGTTTAGGTTAAAATGCTAGATAGAGCCCCGGGGGTGGCAGGACAGCGGAGCTGGTGTCTGTTCCGTGAGTTTATTTTCCTTTTCCCACTATTCACATTATTTTCTTACAGCAACCGGCGAGTTCCTTAACTGTGAAGGATCTGGCCTCTTTGTGCTTCAAAGCTGCTGTGAGTCTCGGCACTGGGGAGGAATGGGCTCACATATTTCTGCCCTTACCAGGTTTGCCCTTTGTGGGCTGACCAGGTCAAGTCTAGAAGTGGGTTAGGTTTGTGTTTCTTTGGAAATTCTCTTGAAAATTACTGCTCTATCAGTTTCATTCCCTCCCCCTCTCCATTATTTTTGTTTGTTTGTGGTGTTAACTGGGAGCCAAACCTGAGGCTTCATCCCCAACCTTCTGCTTGTGTTTTAGCTGATATTACCATGGGTTATATCCACCTAAGGGGGAGGCACAGAGCCCTGCTTCTTGCAAAGAGAGGCATAGGCATTGTACCACCACTACCCTATGGGATGTGGTCAGAAAGCACTGGGGAGCCTGGGGCCTGTAGGAAGGCCAAGGCCACCTCCTACACAGACCTCTTCCAGATCCCAGTTTACCATCTCCTGCTTTCCTCAGACTGGGTACAGGGGTTCCAAATCAGCAGACAGAAATAAACTGTCCATTGCAGATGCTCTCAGAGTGCCATGCCTCCCTTGGTGAGACACTGGATGTATTTGAGAACATGGCCGTTTTGTGGGGTGGGAGTGGGAGCGGAGCTGGCCATGATACAAGACAAATTGTATCAGCACTGTGGTCTTGAGGATAGAGCACTGGGTACCAAGACAGGAAATGACGTCTCACACCTGCTCTTCCCTCAGTGTTAACCACAAAGTAAGTGACCTAGGACTCTGTAGTGTTAAGGTTTTTAAAAAGATTTATTTATTATGTATACAGTATTCTGTCACATGCATGTCCACAGGCCAGAAGAGGGCACCAGATCTCATTACAGATGGTTGTGAGCCACCATGTGGTTGTTGGGAATTGAACTCAGTACCTCTGGAAAAGCAGTTAGTGCTCTTAATCTCTGAGCCATCTTCACAGCCCCGACTTTTTTTTTTTAAAAGAGTTTTGAGACAGGGTCTCCTGTGGCCCAGGCTGACCTTGAACTTGCTGTGTAGCCAAGGATGATTTTGAACTCTTGATCCCCCTGGCTCCACCTCCTAAGTACCGAGACTACAGGCATGTCATGTCCAGCTTTTTTTGTTTTGTTTTTTGAGACAGGGTCTCTTGGGCCCTGATTAGACTGGAACTTATTCTGTAGTCCAGTTGGGCCTCAAACTTACAGCAAATCCTCTTATCTGGCTCATGGAGGTTGAGATTACAGGTGTGAGCCACTATGCTTGGCTTGAGAATATTAGTTCAGTTTCATTTATTTTATATATTTTATATATTTATTTGTTGTACTGCCTCCCAAGTACTATGATTAAAGGCGAGTGCCACCACACACTGCTTTGTTTTGTTTTTAACTTTTATTTACACACACCGGCTGTGGTATGCATATGAAGGTCAGAGTCAGTTCTGTCTTTCTACTAAGTGGGTTTTAGGGAGCACACTCAGGTCGTCAGGCTTGAAGCAACAAGTACCTTTACCTTCTGAGTCATCTACTTGCCCCTAGAATTACATTTTTGTTTGTTTGATGTCTGTCTGCCTGCCCCCTCCCCCCCCACGGTGTTTCTCTGTAGCCCTGACTGTCCTGGACTGGCTCTGTAGATCAGGCTGGCCTCAAACTCAGAGATCCACCTGTCTCTGCCCCCCAAGTGCTGGGATTAAAGGTGTGTGCCACCACCACCCAGCTAGAACTACCATTTTTGAAAAAGAAAAAAACAGATTTTCATTCCTGGGTATAGGGATGTACTTGTGAATCAGAGGCGAGAACATCACTGTTTCAAGGGTAGTCTGATCCTGATTTAAAACTAAGGGCTGGGGGTGTAGACCAGCCATGGAATGCTTGCCTAGTATTCAAAACTAAGGGCTGGGGGTGTATACCAGCCATGGAATGCTTGCCTAGTATGTGTAAGGTCTTGGGTTCTACATACACATACTTCACTCATTATCTGTCTTTTGTAACCCAGGCAACCACAGTTGTGTCCCCAATGCAGAGACCTCCTTCCCAGAAAACAACTTCCTTTTGCATGTTACGGCCTTGGAAGATATTAAGCCAGGCGAGGTGAGAGGACTGGGCAGCAGGGGTGGGCATAGGGCCTTGCAGCTTCTCTCCAGGGAGCAGCAGTAACTAGCTGGAGTCCTTTGTTAGGCTGGTGGTGAGTCACCACAGGCACCAGGGCTTGAGACTTTATGCCCATGTGTATGCTCTGACCACTCCCACTTCTTCAAACACCTTCAGAAAGTCTCAGATTGAAGTAGAGGTATGTGCCCAGTGATTTCTTTGTGGCTTGAGCCACAGGAGTTAGTGTAGATTGAGGGCCCTGGTTGGTGGCCACAGCCTAATGAAATTTTCTCCCATACAAGTTATCATGCCAAGATTAACCTCTGATCCCATCTATAGAACTTGGCTATTGGCTGGTTTTTCTCAGGGTCTGAGGCCAACCTCCATCCTTGTCTATCTCAGATCCAGGTGGGGGTCTTGTCTGCTGGAGCCATGGGAATGGATTTTTGTTGAAGGGCATTGCGGGCCTAGCTTCTGGGCAGGGAACAGTGGTTGACAATAGACGAGACAGCTATTGGGGACGCTCCTTACCTATCTGATGGATGGCATAGGCAATCATACCTTCCTCTACCCCACAGGAAATCTGTATCAGCTACTTAGACTGCTGTCAGCGGGAGCGCAGCCGCCACAGCCGCCACAAGATCCTCAGGTGCCAGCCAGGGGTATGGTTGGGCTCTGGGCTCTTCCATCCTAGCAACTGCCTGACTTGTTACCCCTTTACTTTGAAGGGAGAACTACTTGTTCATCTGTTCCTGTCCCAAATGCCTGGCAGAGGCTGATGACCCCAATGTGACCTCAGAAGAGGAGGAAGAGGAAGATGAGGAGGAAGGAGAGCCAGAAGATGCAGAGCTAGGGGATGAGATGACTGATGTGTGATGTTACCCTGCCTGGAAGGGGCCCTGCCTAGACCCTGCTGCAAAAGGGAGTCACCCTCCACAAATGTGGCTGGAAGGGACATCCCCTCACCCCTGCACCCATTGTCTGCTTTCTCCCTTCTGGCATTCTGTCAGAGCTGAGGAGAGGCTGACCTGAGCACTGCTGCTGAGCTGCATTGGCCCTGTGCTATCACCAAGCCTTCTAGAACTGATCTTCCCCTGCCATGCTCCACTATAGCTGTGAGACTGGAACAGGCTCCAGACTCAGTGTTCTTCCTCTGGGCCCCTTGGCCCATACTTACCCATCCTTCTTGACTGACTGTTAAATTTGAGGGGGACAACAAAATAGCCAATCTGAAAGCAGACTGCTTTCCTTGACAGAAAGAGGTGATATGATGATGCCTTACCTCTTCCTTACAGCTCACCTACCACAGCTGCAACTGAAGTAATGGCCTGCCACTTGCCAGCAAGAGGCAAGAACAAAGGTCTAGGCCTTCAGAACACTTCAAAGGACTCTGTGCTAGGCATGTTGGGTTGTTCCCATTGGACACTGGGGAGGTGGAGATGAACCTGTTCTCCAGACTCCAGAGTCTGTGCCTTGCCTCTTAGGCTCAGGCAAGGTGGCTAGCCCTATAAGGTCTGAAAGAGGCCTGTCTTTATCAGGACTCCAGCAGTACGGCAGATGATAAGATTATGCTCCTTAATTTAGGATAGTCCACTATTCCCTGGGACCAGCTGAAATGGCCCAGCAAAGGACCTGATCTCAGACATCCACCCTTAGGATATCCATAGAGGAACAATGAAGTCTTCCAGAAACCTGAAGGAGCTGGGCAGATACTTGGAAATGAGCCATGACTTTGTTCCCTCCTTGCCACAGATGACCATCTCATTCTTGGGATGGGCATCTTGGAAATGACAGTTACCACTCCCCATTCTTTCCCTGAGATGCCTGCACATGGCCCTGCTGGGGGCTCCCAGGGAGGACCAGTGCCTATGCTACAGGCTCTTTCCAAGGTGGAGCCAGGTGGAACGTGCTTGACTGGCCCCCTCACCTGTTGGGCACACTCCTTCACAACGTCCAGCACCCCTCTCTCCCTCTGGTCTCAATAAAATGTGAGTGGTGATAGGCCTCTGCAGCAATGCTTTGTGGAGAAAGGGCTGGGTAGACCACTCTGAGCCTGCAGTAGTCCAGGAGGCGGGTACAAAGGGCACAAGTTAGACCAGTGGGTGGCAGCAGAATGCTCCAGGTTCCTCAGTAGTGCTTATACTCTCAACCACACTGGTTTGCAAACATCGCTAACACCAGAAAGAGGGTTTCTGAGGCTAGGTTTCAAATACTGATTCTAAACAGTAGTCTTCCCAGAGGGCTGGACCACAGGTAGCAGTCTGTACTAATCCTAATGGGCTTGAGAAGTCATGACCTTCTGTGAGGCTCCTGTAAAAGCAGCAGTATGATGTAGAACCAAATAAATGAGCCCCCCCCCAAGCATTTTTAGCTTAGGATACAGGTACAAACCTGATGAGCTTTATTTAGCTTTATTGCTAAAAAGTAGGGGATCCTTAGGCTCAGAATACCAGTTCTCTAAACCACTCCAGCAAGGGTCATTGTGAGGAGGTCCTGGCTGTGGGAGGCTGAAACTGATAGTGTGACAAACTGCAGGTGACCAGTCCCCCTGCCTTCAGCACCTTTTGTTCCAATTGTAGCCAGAAGCCGTGGGTCTGGTTCTTGCCTCTTACTGGAGCATGAGATGTCCTTACATGCCCTAGGGAAGGGAAAGCCAGTGGTGTGGCATCCCTGTCCCCTCCCTGGCTCCACTTGTCCTCAGAGTCTCCAAACTCCAAATGGCAGAATCTTAGGTCTCTTCTTCCCAGTGAATCACCTGTAGCTGGAACCTGGGTCAGTTTTCCTACCAGAAAGTCCAGGGAGGTTGCAGTAGCTCAAAGGTGGGGATGCTGGTGACATTGACTGGGATGGAGATGATGGCCCAGGGCAGCCCATGCTGTTCCAGAGAGCGACGGATCATGTAGCTGGGAGGGCATGAAGAGCAGTCACTTTTTCAGCACCCCACACTGCCCTCTGCCCCAGTTACTCTGGGGATCTCCAGAATCTGGGAGAGGGGACTGGTGATTGCCTTTGACCCCACCAAGTCATGCCACCCAGTTTAGTGTGGACAGCCAGAAGCAAAGAGCCCTCACCCATCTCGGCCGAGCAGGAAGAGGGCAGGAATGTCAGCTGTGCGTTGAGTACTGTCCTGGATCATCTCCACGTAGAAACTGTCATTGTCAACTGCATTGTCTGAGATGATCACAGCCCGCCCACCATGCTCCTGTACCACCTTGGTCTTGGAGAGGAAGGAGCAGCCCCTGGAAGAGGTGATGATAAGACCAAAAGAAAGGCAGGTGCTAGCTGCCCTCCCCCCATCCTCTCTGTGGGAGGGTGAAAGGACCACAGAGGACTTGTATTGAGGGTCACCAGCACACAGCAGAAAGTGGACAAGACATTTCTCAAAGATCTGTAAAGGACGACTTATTTAAAAATCGACATTTCAAGGTACCATGAGCTGTGATCAGAATCTGTCCTCCCAGGGTGTGACCCCTGCCCACTCCTTACCCCCTTTCCACCAGAGCGATCTGGTCCTGGATGAAGAAGCCGTTGCTGAGTTCCCCACAGGCCTCTGGAGGTTCAGCAGGAACGAGGTGAATCTGCTCATACCGTGTGTGCTGAAAAACGTGTGGAGAAGTAAGAGTGTAAGAAAACACAGCTTTGGGCGGGCTAACAGCTCCATCCTCCTGGGGCCTGGAAATGGAGTGCTTTCCCTGTGGCTGAGCACTTGAGCGTTTTCATTCCCACAGTCCATGTGATTACTCAGCCTCATCCTGCCTTCCCGTGAGAGGTGATGGTTATAACTCAGGGACAGGGGAAGTAGCTAGGGCTGACAGACAGAGCTGATGCCCTGGGCTTTTCAAGTAGTTTCCACCAATGAAGGCAGTCCCTCCCGGGTTTACAGTGTGCAGCGGCTCCTGGAAGGCATGGCTGGATTCTGCTTTCTGCCCTGTCCCAGCATGAAAACGGGATGAGGGTCACCATGGCTCAGTGATGGCAAGAAGGCCGCTGAGGGTCAGAGATCTGAGCACCTTTGAACTTACAAATATACCACCAAAGTCCTTGGCAGGCGTGGCTGTGAAGATGTAGCGAATGTCCCCAGGACTCAGCACTTGGAAGTATAAGTAGTCATGGATGCGTAAGCCTACAGGAGAGTACAGATGAAAAAGCCTCTTAGGAACAAGCTGGTTCGGATTTGGATCATGGGGTTCCCTAGGTCTTCAACTGGGTGGACTGTGGTCTGGTTCCATCAACCGATTGGATCCTCCTGGAGCATGAGATTTGAGATTTTATCTATTTTTGATCACCGTCTCACTATGTAGCCTGGCTGGCCTCAAACTCACAGAGATTCACTTGCTTCTCCCTCCCCCACTTCCCCTTCACAAGTAGTGCTGGAATTAAAGGTGTGCACTACCACACTGGGAAATCTTTTTTAAAAATGGCCTCACACAGCCCAGGCTGGCTTGTTTTGTTTCCTTGTTGGGCCTTGAACCCTTCCTCCTGACTGCCTCCCAAACATGATCACAGGCAGGCATCACCAGGCCCAGCTTGGGAGCTGGTTTCTGCACTGGGTAGGACAGACTGCACATTTGTATTTGCTGAATGTGCTCCTGCCACAGCAGGTGAGCCACAACGATCCAGCTCCTGGGTTAACACCCACCCCTGCTCTGAAGACCTAAGAGTTTCAGAGTGGATAGGGAAGCCCTCAAGTTTCTAACCGGAATTTACAAGTTAACTTTGGTCTCACTGACATCTCCTAGTCCAGTCATTGTCATCTCTTGTCCTGACTGTTGGAGTTTAACGATCTTGCTTCCAAGTCTCTTTTTTCAGAAGGGCCATTGCCCAGACTGCTTTTCAACATTTGGGCTCAAGCAATCCTGCCTCAGGTTCCTATCTGCCTTCATTCTTAATTTAAGTTTTATTTTATGTATGTGTGCTTTGTCTGCATATATGCCCATGCACCAAGTGTGTGCCTGGTGCCTACAGAGTCCAGAAAGAGGGTATCAGTTCCTTGGAACTGGAGGGACAAGCAGTTGTGTGTGGGCCCTCTGGAAGAAATAGTACTCTTAACTGCTCTCTCTCCAGCTCTCTCCAATGTCCTCCTTAAGGTCCTCCTACCACCCACTCACTGTCAGAGCATTGGTGTCCCCTTCACTGACTGAAGTGTACGCTGCTGCTCACTGTGGCATAGAAGGCCCTGCTTTAACCGACTCCTGCCCCTGCTCCAATTTTGTCTCCTCTTCCCCAAATTCAAGTTGTACTGGCTTTTCAGTGTTTTCATCTTTTTGGGTCTTCCTAAAGTTTACCTGCCATTTCTCAGAAAGATGTTGCCTTGTCCCCTCCTATACCCATTCAAAATGTACTTTCTTCCAGCTAATACTTCCTCTGTAATTACTGTGTATTTATAATCTATGTGTTTCTTCCACTAGAGCATGATTCTAAGTTTGTGACTTTACTCAGTGATGAATCCCCGGTGCTTACAACACAGGCTGCTCAGCAAAGGTTACTAAATGAATGAACAACTGTCCAGTCATGCTGTCTTGAACAAGAGAACCACCACAACAACCAGGGTTTTGCTAGGATATAGAAACCTCTCAGCATCGAAGTTCAATGTTTTCCTGGGATTTGAGTCCCTGGATTCCTTAAGCCCAGAGAGACGAGTGAATGTTGATGGATGGAAGCTGTTACCTCAGGTCTGTTAGTCAATTCAACAATCAAGCTATCAAGTGACTATGACTGCCTGTGGTTCTAGCTGTTCCTATCTATGGTTCAAATCACAACCACCGAGACAGAGTTCAGGGGCTTGCAGCCTTTTGTCCTGAGTGTAGGTACACTCCATCAGATGAATACACCCCCAAGGAAGCCTTATGGATTAACATGAGGCAACTCTTTGGGTATATGTATGTGTTCACTTAGCGCGTAGGTGTGCACATTTATGTGCGAGTTGTGTAAGTGGGTGCCTGTGCGTGTGAGTCCACGTGTATGTTTCTGCCTATATGAACGCTCGCGTTTCTCTATTCTGGATCTCTAGCTGTCACCCAGGTCGCCCTCAGCAGGAGGACTGGAGGATCTTGCTTCTACGTGGGGAGCCTCGGGCTGCTCCGACTCATGGCCCCAGGGACCAGCACCCACCCACCGCAGCCGTCTGGCCCCAGGACCTGGCCGGCCCAAACTCGCGGGGTCCCCAAGGTGACCCGTAGCCCCCGGCCCGAGCAGCGCGCACGCTAGATGCCCACCCTCCCTCCCACCCCGTCCGTCCGACGCCGCTCACCGTGGGCCGCGACGCACGCGGGCAGCCAGAACACGAGACAGCACCAGCCCGTGGCGCCACGGCTCATCTCCAGGGCCCGTCCCGCCGCGTTCGCTAGCTGTACTTTAGCCTGACAGCTGCCCCGGCCTCCGCCAGGCCCGCTCTCCGCGCGGGTTGGAGCGCGGAACCGAGGCCGGCGGCTGATTGGCTGCCACGCCTGTTCGTGTGGCCGCACTTTCCGCCTCTGCGTCCCTAGGCTACTTCCTATTGGCCAGGAGAAGTGGTGCCGGGAGCTGATTTGCCAAAACTCTTAATAGCAACTGCAGCTGGCAGCCCCGCCCCCGCGCTCCTCAGTATAGCTTCGACTCCCGACCCGAGGGTGGGCGGCTCGCGGGATGCTCGGGGATCCTCTTCCAGAGGCTGGCTGCGCCCTGGGGCCCCGCGCGACCTCGCCTTCCCCTCAGGCTGCAGGGCGGGGCCTCGGCCGACAGGAGGCGCTGCAGAGCCAGAAGCCGCCCCGACAAGTTTCCCGCGCTCGCGGGCTGCACACCTGTGACCCGGGCCGCCTCGACTTCCCAGGCTGCCTGTGAAACGCACAGAGCTCCAACGCCACGGAGCTGTGTGGGTGCAGTGAGATCACTCACTCAAGGCGCTTCCCACAGCCGGCGTTCAGTGCTGACATTTCATCCCATGTCTACCACGGCATCGGTGTCCGGGGACGCGCGCCGAAGCCCGGCCCGACTGCGCCCTCACAGAGCACAAGCGCGTCGGAACTCGATGGCCCCGCCATACAAACGCGAGTTCCTAGAGCGTCCCCGGCGGGGCCTCCGACTCCTCTAGCCGGCCACTTTTGTCGTAGCTAACCATAGAGTGGCGGAAGTGATCCGTCCCCTTCCTCTCCCCCGCCTGCGTCTAGCCAGAAGCTTCTGGGTACTTCTCCGGCGCGGAGCATTGTGGGCTTGGGTGGGCGGTTCCGAGGCCGAGAACAGACGAGTTGTGGGGCCCTGAAGCCGCTTCCAAGATGATGGTGAGTGGCTCCCGGCGAATCCGCTGCCATCCATGGCCGTAGGGCTCGGGCCCGTCTTGCGGGGAGTCTGCAGCGGCCCGCTCCGACCTCCTGCCTTTGGGCGACCCGGAGCTGGAGCGGTTGACGAGAGCCGATTAGGGCTCGCGGCTCCACTGGGCCCGGAGACTAGGGGTCTCACGGCGATTCGGGGCCATGAGCCCCTTCGGCCGCTTTCCCCGTAGTGTAGACGTGGGTTTTCGGAACCGAGTGCGGTTGGGAGTGTGCTTCGCCGCCCCGGGAGGTGCAGAAGTGAAGGCGTGAGCTTCTAGAGCGCTCAGGCAGCGTGAGGATCTTTGGGTTGGGCCGAGTGGCTCCCTGCATGGCAGGCACCGTGGTCGCTTGCGTTCCCACGTCTACTCGGCCCGGCTGCTGCATACGGAAAACAATTCTTCATTACTGTTAGAACCTGTTCGTTCGCTCAGTCGTTCAGCAGTGCAGTTTTAACGTCTCCAGAATGCACAGGCCCAGCTTCCGTGCTGGAGAGCGGAGGCAGTTGAGGTACACAGCCACAGAGATGGGAAGACGAGTCTCTTAGCGGTGTGTCTGTAGCTGCCTTTCATCGCGTCCCTGTGTATGATGAGCCTAAATTGTTAATGAGCATCGCCAATTTCAGAATCCTGTGCACTTGACATCAGTTCACACATTTTTGCTTTCCAGTGTCAATCCTTTGTCTGCCCTTTGCAGCTTCTCCCTGTTTCCGGAGTCCACACTGGCTGATAACCTGTAAGGCGTTCTCCTTGCTTCCAAATGCTTTGTGATTGACTGCAGCTCCTGCTCAGTAGAGGGAACCTCTACAGAAGCGTGACCCCTAACACTTTTCAGCGTCTGTTTTCAACATTATTCTGGAAATTGATTTGGTTGGCAAGGACAGAGCTGAAGAGTAAAACCAAGATCGATTTGTTTATTTATTTTTGGTTTTTCGAGACAGGGTTTCTCTGTATTGTTTTAGAGGCTGTCCTAGAACTCTCCCTGTAGACCAGGCTGGCCTGGAACTCACAGAGATCCACCTGCCTCTCTCTGTCTCCGGAGTGCTGGGATTAAAGGCAAGTGCCACCAACGCCTGACAAAATCAAGATTCTTAATGTGCTGCAGTAAAACATTCATTGGGGCTGCAGATGTGACCAATGTACGTCATTTGCATAGCATGCCTAGTGCTCTGGGATCCATGCCCCACCCAGTCCCCAAACAAATAGTAAACCTTTCATCAAAAGACTCGAGACCACTACATGTGGATTTTACCTGAATTGCTTACTCTTGCCCTGTCCAATTGACTTGTATGCCTGTTGGGTATCTCCCTTCTTAAAATGTGAGTTCACCGTGCTGTCAACATACTGGTCTCAGGTAGTCTGGAAGGCTTTTGTGATTGAAGGAGAGTTCGGGTCCCTGAAATCCTCATCTTCTGTCTTTAGTATGTCTATTGTCTTTTTGGCATTAAGCTGTATGTCTTTTCTCTCTCTCTCACACACACACACAGCTGGCCTTGTTTTATAGAACATTAAGTCTAATAGTAATGGCTTTGTTTTTTGTTGTTTTGTTTTTTTCAGGTACTGGGGGTTGAACCTAAGGCCTCATTTTCTTTTTCTACCACTTAGCTATAGCCTGAGACTTTTTTCTTTCAAATTTATGTATTTTTTATTTTAGGTATGGGTGCTCTGTCCATGTATCCATGCAGGCCAGAAGAGGGCATCAGGCCCCATTATAGATGGTTGTGAGCCACCATGTGGTTGCTGGAAATTGAACTCAGGAAGTCTGGGAGAACAGACAGTGCTTTTAACCACTGAGCCGTCTCTTCAGGCCTCTGAGACTTTTTTAATAGCGGCCTCTTCTTTGTAGCTCAAAGCTTATCTCGAATTCCTGGTGTAGCCCACTGTGGTGATTAGTGTCAGCTTGACACAACCTAGAGGCACCTGGGAAGAAAGTCTCAATGAAGATTGTCTAGATTAGGTTGATCTCTGGGGAATTAGTTGTTTGGGTTGCTTTAATTGATATGGGAAGACCTAGTCCACTATGGGTGGCTCCATTCCCTGAGCTTGGGGTCCTGGGCTGTGTAAGAGAAGAAAGCTAGCTGAGCACTAGCAAGTGAGCAGCATGCATATGTTCATTTTTCTCTCTTGACCGTCTGCTTCAGGTTTCTTGCCCCCCCCTTTGAAGACAGTTTCTTAGTGTATCCCAGGCTGTCCTGGGATTCTTCCTATTCTACATAACCAGTCTTAGTTGGTGGGTGGTTGTTTTTGTTTTTAGGAGTGTGGGGGTGTGTTCATTCTTGTGGATATCTGTGTGGCCAGAAGAAGGCATTGGAGCTGGAGTTACAGATGGTTACGGTATTGGGAATCAAACTCCCTGTGCTCAGGGAGAACAGGAAGCCCTCCTAACTGCTGAGCCATCTCTCCAGCCTCATGTCTGTTTTTATGTTATACTCTTAATACTTTTTCTTAGACCAATACAACTTCATTTATTACTGTTTGTTACCATTTCTTCCATTTGAAAGTTTGTTTGTCTACAGCTGGTCATTTTACTTTGAACCTGGCAGTGGTGGTGCACTCCTTTAATCCCAACACCAGGAGGCAGAGGTGGGCTTGGTCTACAGAGTGAGATCCCGGACAGCCAGGTCTACACCGAGAAACCCTGATGGGGGTGGGGAGATAAAAGAAAGGAAAAGTTGGTCTTCATTGGCTTATAACTGTCTTGTAGATTCTGGAACTTGTGCATGCAATTTTGGGGCCAGTACCCTCATATTGGTTTTTTCACTCACTAAAAGACAGTGGCTCTCTAACCAGCTTAGGATGTAGTGTGTGGTGCAGAGTGCATCTTCATTTCTGTCTCATTGGACTGCTAATGTCTTTCTTGAATAATTTTCATTTTAAATTTTATCTCAATTGTATAGAAGTTTTGCCTGCATGCACGTGTGTGTATCGCTTGCATGCCTGGTGCCTATGGAGTCTAAAGGGATCACAGCTGGTTATGAGGGTGTTGGAAGTCAAGCCCCAGTCTTAGAAGAGCACCCAGTACTTTTAATTTCTGAGCCATCTCCCTATTCCCAAGCAATTTGTTTTTGCTGACAACTGTGCTTGTTGGATCCCTGTCTTGTCTGTCATGTTGGGCTGGAACCATGCTTTATTTACACTTGTCTGAGATCTGTCTAGACTCATAGGCTTTTTGGTTTTGCACGTGAGCTGTAGTGTTTTCAAGCTTTAGGGTACATGACAATTGTAGCTCTGCTGAGGTATCGCACTTGCTAGCTTAGATTTCTCTGATGTCAATTAGCATTTACAATTGTCCTGGCTAGTTTTTTTTATAATTTATTTTAATATTTTATGTGTATCAGTTGCCTGCATCTATGCCTGTGTGAGGGTGTCAGATCTTGAAGTTGCAGACAGTTGTGAGCTACCATGTGGGTGCTGGTATTTGAACCTGAATTCTCTGGAAGAGCAGTTATTTTTCTAGCCCCCAGTCCTGGCTAGTTTTATATCAACTTGATACAAGCTAGAGTCATTTGAGAGAAGGGAACCCCAAGTGAGAAAATAACCTCCTTAAGAGTATGGGTGGTGGTGGTGCACACTTTTAATCCCAGCACTTGGGAGGCAGAGGCAGTCAGATCTCTGTGAGTTCGAGACCAGTCTGGTCTACAAGAGCAAGTTCCAGGACAGCCTCTAAACCACATAGAAATCCTGTCTCAAAAAAAAAAACAAAAACAAAAAAACAAAACAAAAAGGGGGGGTAGGCTGTAGGCAAGCCTGCAGAACATTTTCCTCGTGATTGATCTAGGAAGGACCAGTCCATTATGGGTGGTGCCGGCCCGTTATGGGCTGGTGGTCCTGGATTCTGTAAGAAAGCTGGATGAACAAGCCAATAAGCTCACTCCATCATGGCATCTGCATCAGCTCCTGCCTCTAGGTTCCTGTCCTCTTTGGAGGTCCTGCTCTGACTTCCTTGTGGAAGCATAAGCCAAATAAACTTTCCTCCCCGTCTTGCTTTTGTTCATGGTGTTTTATCCTAGCAGTAGTAACCCTAATTAAGACAAGAATGTAGCACCTTCACAACTTTTGAAATAGTGTGTGAGCAGATCTACTCTGTTACTGGTGGGTCTGATTTCCAACGACAGTCAGTAAACAACCTTAACACATCTGTACGGCCACATGGAGACATGCAAACACTTCTGACAAAACACTAAAATGGAACTTTATGCTTTTAAGAGAGAAACCAAGGATAAAATGACCAAAACAAGGAGACAATGGCTTTCAGCATTTTTATTGTAGAGTAAAAAGTAAATTTCAGTTGTAGCTACTAACAAA